CGCTATAAAGCTCGGTTGGTAGTCAAAGGATTCAGACAAGAAAAATGTATAGACTTTGAAGAAATATTCTCTCCCGTGGTAAAGATGTCATCCATCCGAATGGTCCTTGGCTTAGTAGTCGTGCAATATTTGGAGATTGAACAGCTCGATGTCAAGACGACGTTCCTACATGACGATCTAGATGAAGAAATTTATATGGAACAGCCTGAAGGATTCAAAGTTCCAGGCAATCTAGTGTGTCATCTGATTAAGAGTCTATATGGGCTTAAGCAAGCACCAAGGCAATGATATAAAAAGTTCGACTCTTTCATGGCAGAACATGATTTTAAAAAGACGGAAAGCGGTCATTGTGTCTTCACGAAAAGGTATGCGAGTGGCAACTTTCTCATACTCCTGCTATATGTTGACGATATGTTAATTATTGGACAAGATCGCATAAAGATAGCTACTTTAAAGAAAGAACTAAGCAAGAGTTTCGCCATGAAAGATTTGGGACCAGTTAAACAAATCCTTGGGATACGAATAACTCGTGATAGATCAAAGAGATTGTTATGGCTATCCCAAGAGAAATACATTGAGAAGGTGTTGGTTAGATTCAACATGCACAAATCAAAGCCGGTTAACACACCACTTGCTGGACACTTCAAGCTGAGTTTGAAGTAGAGTCCCACAAGTGAGAATGAAATGGAGGAAATGAAGAAAATTCCATACTCATCTGTAGTAGGCAGTCTCATGTATGCAATGATATGTACAAGACTAGATATCGCATATGCAGTTGGAGTCGTGAGTCGTGAGTTGCTTCTTGGTCAACCCAAGGAATGAACATTAGGTTACATCCAAATGGATCCTCCGATATCTATGAGGAACTTCCAAAATATGTTTATGCTTTGGGAAAGGAAAACCTGTGTTGGAATGATACACAGATGCAGACTTGGCCGGTGATATTGATTCAAGAAAATCAACATCATGATACCTAACTACTTTTGCAGGGGGAGTTGTCTTGTGGCAATCAAAGCTGCAAAAGTGTGTGGCATTGTCCACTACTGAGGCAGAGTACATCGCAGCTACTACAGCTTGCAAGGAGATGTTGTGGATGAAGAATTTATTGCTGGAGCTGGGAATAGATCAAGAAAGGTATATCTTAAAGTGCGACAATCAGAGTGTAATTTATCTTGCAAAGAATTCAATATCTCATTCCCACACAAAGCACATAAACACTAAATATCATTGGATTCGAGAAGTTCTTGAAGAAAAACAAATACATATTGACAAGGTTCACACAGATGAGAACTGGTCAGACATGATGATCAAGGTAATACCGACAAAGAAGTTCGAAGATTGTTGTCAAAATGCCGACTTGTTACTACCCCCTAATTAAATCGAGAGGGGGAGATTTGTTGGATCTCTCCTTAATTGGAGAGGTTCTAGAAATTTCTATAGTTTTCTAGAGAAGTGTAGAATTTTCTAGAACATTTTGGAGAACTCTAGAGAAGTGTAGAACTCTTTAGAAGCTTGTGGAAGAGTGTGGAATTCTATGGAATATTCTGGAGATATGTGGAACCTTATGAAGTAGTGTGGAACCTTAGGGAAGAATATGGAAGGGATTGTAGAATTTCTTAGAGTGTGTGGAGCATTCTAGATAATTAATTTCCACCATTGGATATAAGTAATCTCCACCATTCATTGTGGAGGTGGAGTAGTATAAATAGGTGTGAGAGACTTCATTCCTAACCATCCAAGAGTTCCAAAAACACTAAGAGAGTTCACTTCTTAGAATGAGAAACTAAAGAGTTAGAGAGCCTCTTTGAGAGAGAAGAGATATAGCTTGGGAAGTCTTTATCCTCAAGTTTGAGTGAATCACCAAGTGTGAGTCAAATTTTGTGAACACATCCTTGTAATCCTACTATTCTTTTGTATAGTGGAAGAATCTCCAAATTGGAGAATTATACTCTTGTGCTCTCTTTACTATCATTAATCTCTAAGTGCCTATCTTAACTTCATGAAGCGAGAAAGACCGTGATTCCCAACATTACCTAAAGTCAAGTATTTATTAAGTTAAAACAATAGGGTGTAAATAAATACAAGTTTAAAATAATATTATGTGTTGACGTAATCACATTTGTAGTGATAAAATTACTTCCAAAGTATATATCACAATATTGTAATTAAATTCATCATTTTAATAGCAGATTGACTCATTTGAATCTATTTTTATAATAAAATGATTAAATTTTGATTCATTTAATAATGAAGATACTACAATTAGGTCTTCTACTTTTTCTTTTTCTCTATAGCATTTACTTTACATTAGCCGGTTATCACACTTTAGTAACTTCCGATAGCGGTAGTGGCTTTTCACGGTCATCTCTCTGTCATTTTTTCTTCTTTTCCAGTTAATTATTATCTAATTTTACTAGTTTTCAATTATATTTTAATATATTAATATATTGACAATAATATTTTTCTTAACCTTTTTTTCTAATAAAGGGTATTATGACTACCAATGCTTTTAGACTTTCGGTGCATTTTTTTATCGGCCTTTTTTTAGTACTGCGATTCTATATGATTTATTGGTTGATTATTTTCCTGATGTCTTTTTTCTTTGCTCGTTTGTATATGACGTTGCTTTGGTGGTTGGTTAGCTATGTCGAATGAGATTGCAGTTAAAGGAAGATCGGTTTTTCGTTCTTTCACTTTGGATATTCTTCAGGTTTTTCTCCTCTATGTTTGATGATCGGGACTTTGGAGTGATCCGTTTCTGTACCTCTTTGCCTCAACTGTTCACGCTTTTACTTATCAAGCAATCACTAGTCGATCACTGTTATATTTTACTTATGATTGCCATATGATTGTATTTAGTGAGACATTATTGACAGTGCTTTTGACAAATAAATATATCATAGCCCTACTTTCAAAAGAAAACTAAATTGATACAATCCTTATAATAGGATCGGACAAGTAGTTTCAAATAAAATTATTGTATGTTAATATTTTTTTAGTAGTCTAGAGTGATTATAATGTTTTTTTAATAGGATCGGATAAGTAATTGAATTTGAAGCTTTGACGCATTATAGTTAAAGAATTGATAATTGAATTGCTTATTAAATATTGATTGATCATGCTGAACATTTATAATATAATTTTTAGATGAATCGATTGATTGAATAAATTTTAGAAAATGAAAAGTTGGTCCCTTCAATTTAATTTTATTAGTATTTTGGGGACCACTGAATTTTGTAAAGGATTAAGCAGGCACTTTCCATAGGCCCAACTGAAAACCACGTGTAGGGGATGTGACACCTTTTACCCTTTGATCTTATAAATCCATTTCTTGTCTCTAAATTTCTACCGCCTTCCAACCCAAATATTCTAATGTACTAAAAATTTCCTTCTCATGGTCGAAATTCAATTATAATTTTATAAAAGTTATAATAAAATTTTATTATTGTTTAGTTTAGAACATTACAATTTATAGAAAGAACAAATATTTTTCCGTTTTAGAAGATGTAAATATAATTTTTATTATATATTACAATTCGATGGAAATGCCTCTCCACTAGGGTTGAACGAGTCGAACTCGAGTATTGTTGAACTCTACAAATTTACAATTGAGTTCAACTAAAAATTTATGAGTTTAAAATTGTCAAGTTCAACTTGAACTCGAAATCAAAAATTGAATTTTGACTCGACTCAAAAGCTCGTGAGCTTAAAAGTTTCAAGCTTGACTCGGAATACAAAATTAAAGCTCAACTCGAGCTTGAAAAAACTTGAACTCGAAACATTCTCAGACTTCGCTCGATTGAAGTTCAGACTCGTGCCCAGATCAAGCTTAAACTCGAGTTCGAACATGAATCTTAAGTACATGAAAGTCTTATGTTGTATTTTTTTTATTAAAAAACAATATATAAATGTTAATATTATTAATAATTTAATTAAAAAAATTTAATATATTATCTTTTCAAGTTACTCGTGAGCTTTTCGAGTATGATATCAAGTAGTTCATTTCCACTCGTTAAAAGTTCAAGTTAACTCAATTTGAATGTTAACGAAATTTTAATAGAATCTAATTTGATTAGTTTGCGATATGTTTCATGTCATTTAAAGTCGTATCTCCCACTAAACATGTGAAATTGAAAGCACACGTAGCTATTATTTACCAACTAAAAATGAATGAAGAAATAATAGTTGGTCCCAAGCTATTGGGAGCGTATTTTGGAGTAGCCAAGAAAGGGGTTTGATGTTGGAGCATTAAAAGGGCTACAACAGTGATTGCTGTTAAAAGTCTAGCCATGCTTTTGCTCGATATGTAACCCTACCGTTATGCATTTATATTGTTTTCTACATTCATTTAAGTTTGAACGGGTAACCAACGACACAAGGCACTCGTCCTGTTTTAAGATCTATTTTGCTTGAACAAACGTATAGGAGTTATATATACACACACATATATATATATATATATATCACGTGCATGTCTTCTCCATCCCTTGCTCCTTACCAGAAAAGAAATGGTATTTCTATTGTAACTAAAATATCACCCCAAAAAACATACGTGTTGTTGCTTGCTTTTTGAGATCATTAAACCAAATAATATTAGTAATGTAAAGTATTTTATAAGATCGATTGTATCTTCATCCTGGATGATACCGTTTTTGTTATAATAACACGGAGATTACGAGTTTTAAGTGTGCTATAAGTAGTTTGGAAGTGAATATTGATGATGGACTCATAATTTTATATTAGAGAGACGAATTTATAAAATTCTAAGGAAGATGAAAACATATTATCATTAGAAAATAAAAAAAAATCTAAAATATATGATAAATTGAAATTTTGAGGAGACACTGCCATCACTAATACTAGTCATTCAACCATTGCCGCCAAGAATGCTGCTTCACATTGACACATGCAAACCACGCAACTTTAATAAAGACTGCATCATAATATGATTTTGTTTGCAGAATATGAACATGCTAACAAATTAAATCAATTAACAATGGGGATTCAAAACATTATGAATAGGATAAAACAACCTACCTTTTCATCTGCTACAATAACCTGTTTACTTTGCTAATATCTATCTATCTATCTATATATATTTATGGAGTGATCATAGTGTGAAATAGAGAAAGGAACATCACTACCTTGACCTTTAAACCAGTTGCATCCAGCTCGAGAGTCGGTACTCAACTAGTTAACAGCCATGGCCAGCATCATCCATTCGAGAAAGACGATAACGGGAAGCCAGTCCATGAACCTATTGCCATGAAATGCCAGGGCCACTTGTCATTGTTCTAGCTTCAGCCAGAGATACAGACATTGCCAGCATCATCTGCTCCTCGTAAATTTCGGGAATAATGGATCCAGGGCCGGGAGCATTCTGAAAGCTGCCCAGAATTTCATGTTCTTGAGGTATTTCTGAGATCCCACGGGCATCTTGTGTCACATCAGAGCTTGAATAACTAGTCCCTGCTTCAGCCCCCTCTAATCCATGATCTAAACCCCATTTCCCTTCATCTCTTGCTGGTGTCATCACACCATCACCGACTGGAATATCTGCAGGAGGATAGTTCCCGGCAACTGGGTCCAATTCAGACCTGTTATAAAACCCCCTGCTGCTGCTGCCGGGAAGCATACAGAATGACGGCATATTTCCATCATGGTTAAGAGAAGAAGACTCTCCACCTGTCTGCTGACGCTCAGCAAGGGCAGCTATTGCACATGCAAGTCCACCAGAAGGAGATGATGATGAACCTGCAACTGTGGTCATGGCTGGTGAGACATAGCGGTCCATGGAAACATAATGCACCGAAGGAGCAGCATCTACATAGTTGGAATTTCTGTGTTTGCTGTTCTCCTGTACCAGTTCCATTTAAAGAATCAATCGAAGGTGTGTAATATAGTCAAGTAGAAATGGAGATCCTACACAAATAACAAGATAGCAAAAAATAAAACATTTTAAGATTACAAGTTACAAATATTTCTTCATTTATTTTTTTTACCTGTTTAACTAAATAACAAAGTTTGCTGTCCAGCAACTTAAACCGAAACCAGTTTCCTAACCAAAGAGCTATACGCAAAACCCTTTGTTTAAACTGACAAAGTATGAGTTCATTACGGTAGCTAAATACTTAGATTATGTAATTAGTTTCGTACATAATCTCATCTGATTTTAAAAGAAATACCTGAATAGACTGCCAAACTGCTTCCATGACCATTATCTCCTCAAGGTCTATGTCAAACTCATCGTCCCTGCAATTTAAGCATTTGATACAATATAGTCAAAGAAGATTCATTCTGGAACAAAGTCTAGCCAGGTTTAAGCCTGACAGAGATGTAGCACTTGACTAGTTGTGCAGTAGAAAACAAAATATTCTATCATCTTTTTCATTCAAAAGCAAATAACACTTTAAGTTAACCAAAACGAAATGCAACCACCATGATATTTTGATCCTCCTTCTTTTTCCCTTTTCTTTTTGCCACAACACTTGGAATGGTCGTCATCATCTTTACACCAATAGGAACTTTTTGAGCGCCTGCTGAATATGCTTTTTTTCTTTCTCATTCAAAAGGAAACAAAATAGAAGTTCACTCACATATACCCTAATTGTTAAATAAAGGTCTGCTTTTATAGTTTTCATCCATATCCTCTTCAAACGTCGCCTATTCACAGGACTATTATCCATTAAATAACATGTTCTCGTGAAGGAATTTGTAGGTCAATTCTTTTCACGTTGAAGTGCATTCCATCTCCATCATCCTGTCTATGACAGGTGTCCCTCATTACTTTAGGCACTCATCCCTTATCTCATCTTTCCTCGTATGCAACACATCTAACAAAATAATCTGCTCTCCAAAAAACTTGTGAATGGTGAAATATTTTTCATTTGTCCTCAACCATGAGTTAAACAAGAGAAAGCTTTGGTGCTTAATTAGAATACTGACAAACCATCGCAACATAACTTTCAACTATAAAAGTCATCTACAAATCCACTTTCAGATTACTCCTTCAGCCTACTTTTCCCAATGCCATTTCAACTCCAGAATAAATATCAGAATCACAGCTGTGGCGTGAATACCATTTCCATGAAACTCTTCTGAACAAATCTAGCATAAACTTACCTTTTACTCTCACCTAACAAAACTTGAGTAAACACCAAGACCTATCTTACAATAAGAGTTTAGAAATTTCAAAACCAAACAGAAAAATCAACACTGATACGAACCGGCAACTATTTACTATGCACTCTTCCCTTTTCCTCTTAACATATGAACAGTTAATCCTACACATGGACGCAAAATTACCTATAACTTTGCCTACCTGTTAGCCCCAAAATGTGAGGGTTGTCTAATCATAGAGGCCGCTGGTGAATCTTGAGAAGAAAATATCTCCTCCTCGCCAGAGGATCTATCTGCAAATAACAAGAGAAAAAGTAAGGAAAAAAAATATCAAGACAGAACAATGTCAAAGCAAGGGAAGAACCAAATATAAGAAAAAAATAGAATAAAAAAAAATTCAGACCTCCAACTGAATTGTACTGAACTTCTCCTGCTGCAACAGCGGTGCTTGAAGAACTCAATTCTTGTCTTTTGTGCATTCTCTCTTTGTCGTCCTGAAGTTCCTGCTGCCTCATTCTAATTTGAGCTTCTATGACTCGTTGTTCTTCCTGCAAAATTTAAATAGCAAAGGGGAATATCGAACTTATTTTTTCTATCTGATGAAAATCATAGGAATGACACCCTTCTTTTATTCTTATTCACAAGGAGGTGGGAACTTACAATTTGCTCTATCCCTTTTTCCTCTTTTGTTTTCACACCTCGATACTCGACAGCATAGTTAGAGGTTTTGCAAAAAGGACACCTCAAATTGTCAAGGAATGCAAACATTGGAATACAAGTATACACACAACTAATCAATTTGAAAATTTCTAGTCAATAATGGGAAGGATACTGTGTAGGACGGGTTGAATTAGGATTCTTCATCTGCAGAAAACACTCTGGTGCAAATAAGTTGCGTCAACATTTCATATAACTAGCAGTATCAGTAATTCAGCATTATTCGAAAAATACAGATATAATTTACCTGTGCAAATGCTTTTCATGCAGCACCTTGATCTGTTGAGACTTGGATAATACTAAAATTGAAAAGTAAAAAGAGAAAATCATATTAATGTAATCAGAAGGTATTACATTCAACGACAACTAACTTTAAAAGACAGTTAAACATGAATTAACATTCGATAAAAAACCAGCAAAGAAGAACACAGAGTAAGCAGTGACTAATATAGCAAAAGGATTAAAGAGCATGGAATTAGCAATCGGATAGTAAGCATAACAAGAAAGCCAATGAAATAAGCACAAACCAAGAAGCAAATTGGGCATTCTTCAAGATCAAAACAGCAATCTTCATCACCAGGATAGCAAGGCGCAAGCTTTGATTCAAGTATCAGCTTTCTTAGCTTCTTAATATCCACATCTTTATGGACATACAACCCTTGTGGGCGTGTATACTTCTCATCCACAGCTTGTCTCCGCCTTCCCAATTTATTACCCATTAAAATTATCCCAAAACTGACCGCTTTCCAGTGAATCGTTCTCTTTCCTTCGATTCTATATTTGATTAGTTTTCAAATTCTCCAGAACCAGAAACAACCACAATTACTACACATTTGGTTTGGTTTGGTTATCTGGTTTAATAAAAACCACCAAAGCATTATGAACAAATAATACGTAGAATCTAAAACCGCAATTCGCAGCTTTACAACAGAATCAAACACACACACACTATAGCAGAACAGAATTCTAATCCAAATTGACAATAGTTAACGACATAAAACCATACCACATGAGTGCTGCTCCTGCAATTGCAACAACAACAAAAAATCAAAATTAAATATATGTTACCAGTTAAACTATGCTTCAAAAATGTAATTTACGAACCAAAAGTCGATGAGGAGAAAAACCCTAAGTTCTGAATTACTAAAAAGAAATCATCTTATCAAGTTTCCAACTTTCACAGCTGACCAACTTTCACAGCTGAATTGGCCAGTGCAATCCTTTGCGGAACATGGCCATAACTATAATTAAACCAAAGCAGGAAAACATTAACACTAAACGAAAAGGTAAAAATCGTAGCAAAAACAGATTAATTTCACAAGGATTAACACAAAATCGAGCCAAAAGACAAAACTTTTGAACAAAACAAAATCGAAGCAAACAAACAAACAAGAAACAGAAAATAACTTTACTAAATTATGGGTAGTTTAAGAGATGAACAACAACAAAAACTTACCTTGAAACCTGAACGGGAATTGCAGAAGCGAATTTGGGGACTTAGAAAGAAAGAAAGAGAGAGACTTCGGTAACGAGAATGGAAACACAATCAGAACTTCTCTCAGAAAAAGAAAGAGATTTTCTTTCTTTCAATTTTTTTTTAAAAATATAGTAATTTGTTTGTGTATAATTTTCTTCGTACTATCTTATCTTACAGATACGTATAATTTAGCCTTAACGTATTTGTTTAATGTTTTGGTTTCTTTCGGTTGTTTGGATGGAAAGTTTTTGATATAAAGGCAAAACAAAATGAGGAATTATTATTATTTAATTTTGGAGATGATACGCCTGCAAAATCAGTATTTTTATTTATTTAATACTTAAATTGTTGGATTCTTCTAATGCAAATTTGAAATTGATGACATCTCCTATGTTGATTTAATGAACCATCGATTACATTAAATAGTTCCATTGCTGAATTAAGTGAATAATTTTTATCTTTTAAATTGATCCATCAAAAACAACTTTTATTAAAATAATTATATTATAAACTATAGCATTAAAAATGATGTATTATCAATTTTTTACATGGACGGAAATAATAAATTGAAATTATTTATTAAATTTGTAATAGTTATATAAGGAGAAGACGTGCAAAATTTATGAAAATATAAAAGGAGGGGAAGGATAATTATAAAAAAAAAAGGGTTGGAGTACTAGAAGAGGAAAGAATCAAATCATCACCCACACACTATTTACCATTTACTTCCCTTCCCGGTTTCTTTTCTTCCTCCCGCGCTTCCCATTGCGCGTCTTCTCCAAACGCCATTTTCCTTCATAGTCCCTATATATTTTTATTTTTTTATTAGTTTTAGACGATTACGAGTAATATATGTTCGAAATTTTTTTAATTATTTAACGATAATCATTCAAACAATCACGGCTATTGATGTTACACTTGAACTCATAACCTCTAAAAATAACAATCATTTTTTAACAACTAAAATTTTATGGTTTGTGTCTATATATTTTCATTTATATTTTATTCTTTGTGGGATGAAATGTGTGTTTCTAGTTTCATTAATTAATTTAACAGTAGATGCTATTAATCCATAATTAGTACATGTTAATTATGAAGATTATTAATGTGTATGTTTTTTTTGGATGTATTCAGTTCAGCTCGATTTTTGGATAAAATATGAATTGAACTGCATTTTACGGATTTCCAAAAATAAAAACCGAAACCGAATGGCATAAAAATCGCAGTTTTTGGTTAAGTTTGATTCTGCTATTTTTTGATTGTTTACTATTTTTCAAACTCAATATCCAAATAAAACAAACTTAAAACTTAAATCAAGTGCAAATATACGAATTTGAATTCATAAACTAAATCGAATTGTATAATTTTATTTTTAAATCAAATTGATACTAAACCGTAAAATGAAAAATCCAAATCAAACCAAACTACATAATTTAATTCAAATTGTTTTTTTCTTTCAATTTTATCAGTTTTATTGTTCAGCGCTATTCCTTAGACAACATGGGGTAACTAATCTTTCCCAAAAGCAAGAAGCAACGGCCCAGTAAAAATTAATGGATGATTTTGCTTGTCCAGATCTGCCAGTGTGGACCATACAGAAACCTTCATTTCACCCACTGTTAATTGGTTGACCAAAATTCTTAAATCTTCAGTATCTAGTTCTCATCTCACTCCAATTCATTGAATATCCTCAAAAATAAAATGAATATTATTATTTTTAAAAATTTTAAGTTTGAACAGTTATGTCTGCATAATGTGTGCATTGTCAATTATTAAAATAAATTTTGAACAAATAATATTTTATAATCACATCATATTATTAACAAAAAACCCCTCATCTCACACTCTTATGTAATGGTAACATTCAATTCACCCACATAAATGCCTATATCCATATTTTTTTAATATAAAAAGATCTAATTTATCATTACATTTATCTCAAACAAGTTTCAATTAACACAATAAACTATTGATAATTTTTTAAAAAAAAACTTATAAATAAGTAATTAATGAAGTATACGAATTTGAATTGTGAATGTGTACGTGAAAGAATAATCATATTTTATGTGATTGTTGACCCTAATTGAATATAAAGATGATATTTTATAGTTACTATGGTATGGCATGTCCTAGCAGATGGTTAAGAAACTGTTGATTAGGGGTGGTATGCATTTGGTGCACCCAATTGGTTAGGGATGGTGGAACCACAACTCTTATGGCTAAATCTATTTTACCTAACTTCATTACTTGGACTATAGAGAATAAAAATCATTAAATGAGTGGATTTTCTGTAAAGGTTGGTATGTCAAATTTTGTTGTCTTCAGCGCGGGGACTCATGTTTTTAGATCATTTATGATGATGCATCATAAATGAAGTTTCAAAATACATCCTTCAACTTCTAAAAATTGTCTATTTTCTCTTTTAAAAAAATAGTTATAGATACATAGTTTAGTTTTGTGTAAAGTGTATAAATGGTTCTTCGATTATAGAACGATGTTTGTTGAGTCTATCGACTATTAAAAATTATAAAATGATCTTCCGACTATATGTTAACGTCAAACTCATAAGGCCGTCAACTTTTTTAATGAAAAAGACGAATTTAAAACATATGAATAGTCAAATGATTATTTTTTAACTTTTAATAGTCAGATGACTCAACAAAGCAACACCATATAGTCAATGGATCATTTTATAACTTTTAATTGTCGGGAACTTAACAAAATAACACCGTACAATCGATGAACTATTTGTGTACTTTACCCTTTAATTTTAAAATTTTACAAATTTAAATGAAATTGAATTTTAAGTTGCACTTTTAAAATTTAAAATTGATATGAAACATTGTTAGTTTTATTGTGAAACCATTAATATGAAATAAATTTTCCGTCCTAAATTTCAGTTCCTTGAAACCCTAGGCTTAGTCTATATTCTACAGCCCTTTGAAATTGTATCCCCATTCGAAATCTGGTAAGAATAAATAACACATTTGGTTCCTGATTCAGCATGAGCATTTGCAATAACCATCATTACAAACACATGTAAATTGTATCCAAATTACATAGCTGATGGAAGGTCCAAATATCAATAGTAGTTTTTTTTATTGGTTTGAATAATATTTTAATTACGATAAAAGATATTAGATAATAAAAATATAATAAATTTGTCACAAACAAAGATAAATGTAAGATTTTATGTTATGGAGTACATTTTTAAAATTTTGATAAAAGATAAATTTATAAGATTTTAAAGGGCGAAAACAAATTTTTAATAAAAAATACACAAGAATTTTTTTAAAATATATAGTAATTTTAAATTTTCGAGATGCGACTGCTCCCACCCACCCTACTTCAATCCAGCTCTGGTCACAAATATAATACAGTAACTGATGAAATGATCAAGTCCATGCACTCTTAACATTTTAAGACACTCGTTTATAATGTCATCGTTATCGTAGAATATTGTTTCTTAATTTTATGATTTAAACCTCTTTACAATAATAACAATAACTATAATAAAAACAAAGGGATGGAGTAAGATCAAAGTTTCTCAAGCTCAAATATTTAGTCCCGAGAAACTCATGATATCTAAAGTACTTTAAAAAAAATATATTAATGAAGGGTTACGGTTTGCTTGCATTTATTTAAGTGGTTTAATTACACTTTCATAATTATCCAATAATATTAAATATATCAATAACTAAACACATCAAGTAATTTTAATGGTTAAAGAGTATATTTTTATCCTTAGAAGTTATGGATTTGAGTATTTATGTATGTAAGGTATATACACGTTGTCAATGTTTTAAAAAATAATTGAACAAATACTACCCACGAACTATTAAAAATAAAAAAAATGTATAAATAATTAAATATTAAAGGAATTAAAACAATTCATTTGTTCACACATTTTTTGACGTGATAACTAATTTTCCAAATATTCAGAATGTTCCTTTTAAATAATTTTTATCTTAATTAATCGTGCTTTGAATTTTTTTATATAATAAATAAAACACTACAATGACACGGGACAAAGTATAAACCAGAAAAAAATCTTGCACTAATTATTGAATGAAACGAACTGATAAGGAATAAAATATTTGGTAAAGTCTTATGGCCACGTTTGAATTGGTAAGAAATATCACATGTTCCACATGCATTGATTTTTGGGCCTTTTGGTTTGAGAATTAATACATACAAAAACCAATAACATATCTAGTAACCCAACAAGCCGTGCATCCCATAAATCTATCTCAACTCTTCCTCCACTATATTTTACTCATTCGGCCTACTTTTGCTAATTGATACACTAAGGTTTTAAAGGATATAAGTGTAAACACCAAATTATCTTTTACACCATTGTTTAATAAAAACAAAAACAATAGATTTAATTCCTCCATTATCCTTTAAAAGTTAAATCACAACGCATTAAAGTATATTTATGAAAATTAATTAACACGAGGCAAAAATTGTACATATTTCTAACATGTAGTTACATTTGATTGCGTCCATAAATTTTTTAGCAAAATGAATAAATCACTGACTATACTTTGTTACAACGGGGAAAAAAAGTTTAACCAAGCGTTATCAATGCATAAGGATAATGTTGCACTTAAGGAAGGGTGATTAACAAAGTTAATTTTAAATTTGTTCTAATTGAACTTGAATCGGTTTAATATTTTTTTCTTTTTTCTTTTGACATCTTTCATTTTTGATTTTTTTTATCTATATTCTGAATTTGTGATTGTCTCTCTCAACATTATCATTTATAATATTCGATGTATTCTTGTTTTATAAGTAGGGTTACATATTGTAGACACCTAATTTCGCCCTCATATTATTACGATCATACTACTATAATATATTTATATATTGATTTATCTCATTATAATTATATTATATGGTATGTATAACACATGTTTTGTAACAGGTCCCATATTACAACAAGTGCTAAGCCCAATACACAACAAGCCTGTTTACAAAAGAGGTAGCCCAACGGTTCAGGGCCTGAACCAACCTCCAAGCCCGGATTAGCTAGGGTTTTCGAACCCTAGCTCGCCC